CTTTGTCCCAGCTCCCAAAATGCAATGTCAAGCCACTTTTTCTTCGTACTAAATATTAATATAATTTTTTTTGTTATTTTATTGGCAGAAAGGGTTTAGTTATCAGTAGAAAAAAATGTATTGGCATAGAGCGCGAGCCTGATGAGCTATAAGGTTAGCGCGTTTTGTCATTTTTTGCGGATAATGGAGGTTTTTCTCTTACTTTTTCCATTCATTTTATCTCTAATTTTTAAGCTGCATGACTGGTTGCATTGAAAATAATATGTCCGTTGATAAATGGAATCTTGGCAGTGATGGATACGCAGTAAATCAACGTCGAGTCTGTTCTGCTCGCAAAGTGAACTAATAGTTATACTACAGATTATATGTACATATGTCCATATGTACATATAGATATAATTCAGTAACATACAGTATCTCTTATTACGTGTTATACCAAAGCGTCAGCCGGACAGGGATGTTTTCTACCGGATGCGGCGTCACCTGTATGTGAATGCATATTATTCTATGGTTTCAGATTGGAGGCATCTGACTACAAAAAGTCCATTTTGCTCTTGCCAAACAGAATTTTGACTCAAAATATCAAGAAATAAATCGGCAAAAACGAAGATCAATAATTTAGTAAGCCCGCAACATTTTGCTTTCCAATCAGGGTGAGCCGTCCTTTACGAATTTACGTGTAAGCCAACCTTTTCAACTGCTGGGAACTTATTAACGATCAGAGAAGATTGGCATAAAACTTTAATACGGCTAAATTGCAGGGAAAACCCACACATAACATGCGTGATTTCTTTTGTGAGCATTTTCGCTCGGCAAATATGCTAACCCCGTGAACCGTGAACATGTTAACAATTTTGCCGGCTACATAGTACATATGTGCTATAAACAGAGCACTCGAGGTGGAATACGAAAAATCCACAGATTTCTCGTAATATGAGCAATAAGGGCTACTGGATTCCGTATATTGTTTACAATGTTGAGCTAATGCCGCGAAATCAATGAACGGGTTAAAGCCTAGAGAAAAACTGGTACGGAAATGGAATTCATTCACCGGCTTGGACAGTAAATAAGTAGAAGTAGTAGAGCTTTCGCTTTTCTATCTAAGTCGGCTTCTACCAGATGCGTGGAACCATGTGGCAACAAAACACAGTAAAGACAACACCTGATTGACGCGATCCATGTTGTACTGGTGCAGTTAACCGGTTAATATTGTACACTTAAAGGCGTTATGCAGTTGTCATTTGACTTCGACAACATTTTGCTCTAATAAATTTGTTTCAGCTATGTATTATTCAGCTTTTATGAATAAAATAAACAACTGACCATAAGCAAAATATTTTATCCATACGAGTACCAATAATGCAATCCCAATTTATGCTATGGATTTTCGAACATCATAAGCATAACGTAAGCTGTTTATGTAAATAATTTATTCTGGTGAAGCAGCTGAATGACCTCCATGGAAGTGTAATTCTTAGTGGCGAAGGAAACTAAACCACCTTTTACAAAAACCCTTTGCCTCCTTGCACCACCCTGGATAAGCAAGCATGAATCTCGTTACTACGTTTGCATTACCACTAGTCATAATTATAACAAAAAATCAAATTTTTTACTTGTATATTTATTTATTATTAGGACGAGCTGTGCATCCCAAGAACAAAACTGCATCAGTAACAAAACCTCGGAATTAGGCACCTCATTTGTAATTCTCTCGGCTGGTCGTTCAGTGCGCTGTTTGAGGAGTAGTCCTTCAAGTTCTTCTATTCCAAACTTCTGTAATTCTTTTTTCTTTAAATTCTATTCCAAACTTACTGCCATACATTTTCGGATAACTTCGCTGGTGTGTGATGCGTTTCTTTTCGGGCTTTTTTTTGTGGAGACTCTCGTCTGTGCATTCCTGGTAATGAAAATTTTCATCAGCAGCTTGACGTGTTTCTTAATTTCTAAATTCTCAACAGATGCGTAACAATATCTGCGAAAATTTATTTTAAAACATGAGTTTTATGCGTATTTAGCTATTTTGTGAAGCGCCGTGCGCGTTTCGAAAGCAAGGTACTACAAGCAAACGACCTGGGAATAAAATGCGTATTTGTACAATAGACCGGTCGCTGCATCTACTCTTGTATCATAAAAAAGCTTTGGTACCGACGGTACCGTAAGTTAAAATGGTGCGGAATCACGGTTGTACTTGTGCTAGCGCAGACATATAAAGGGCTTATACATGCATACAAAAAGCTTTTACATGCATAATAATATGTGTAAGACATGCATGATGCGTAGCCATGCTCATATGCAACTTTTACCCAGTTTCTAGCGGGATTTTTGAAAACTTCCATTTATCGTTTTCTCTAGTGTAGAATTTTTTTTCTGTATCGTACATCTTCGATCGGGTTTGTAACGCGTACAAAGCGGTATTAGGTTATAGTTGTATTTATTTCAGCCTGCTTTCTAGCACGATTTCTGACCTTCTGTTATAATATCATAACCTTACTTTCCCATAAAGTAGTTTGCAGAATTGGGTGCCGGGGTTGTACGCTCGTGAAAAGCGGCGTAAAGTGTCAGGTAACAATTAATCAAGTTTTAAATGCAATTCCAAACCTGCCGTTATCAAGATTCAGATCTATATTGCCACGAATGGGATACACCAGAGCCGGCAAACCAGAAAAGACTGACCAAAACCAATATTATATTCTGAAAGCCCGTAGTCGAAAACCCGGCCAGATAGTATTCATTTCTTTTGAAACCTCTCCCGCTTCGAGCGCCACAGCGGAAGAGTTTTGACTGCCTTCACCAAATGTAACTAAATTATTATAATAATAATTATCATCGTGGTATTTTTAACCAGGTAATGTTGCCACGTAAACCAAAAAGGTGCCACGTGCCAAACCACGTATAAAATATAGTTAAAAAATGAAAGTATTTTCCACTAATTAAAATATCAGAATCAATTTAATTAGCAGACCGTTGGCGTTATTGCGACAAGAACGACTACATATCCAACGTTGTCATCGAGGAAAATTTCTAAACAAGTGCCGGCCAAGCAGCGATAGACAGAACTACCGCCACTGTTCAGTGCACAAGCCCGTTAGTTGACCGAAATACCACTACATTCTAGTTAAAATAACCCGCTAAGCCAGTGAGTGGCCGAACTGCCACTATGGATAGCTATGTGAGCGGCTGACCGAGCTGTCATTACTGTCAGATGCCGAGTGACCGAGCTGTCACTACTTTTCAGTGTAAAAAGCCCGTTAGGGAACGAGTGACCGAGTTACCACTACTGTCCGGTGCACAGAGCCCGGTAGGAGAGCGGGTGACCGGGCTGCCAATGCTGTCCGGCGCAAAAAGCCCGTTCGGTGAAGGAGTGCTGAGCTGCCACTACTGTCCGTGCACAGATCCCGGAAGAGCGGGTGACCGAGCAACCACTACTGTCCGGCGCAGAAAACCCCACCAGTCCACCACTACGATCCGGTTGACAGAGCCAAAAGATACGAATAAAAACGATTAAAATAAAAATTCGAACAGCCCAGTCGTAGACCTCAAGAAACGCGAAAGCGAAGCCGAGATGAAATGAGTGAACGAGCTACCACTACTGCCCGTGCACAGAGCCCCGGAGGTGATACGAGTGACCGAGCTGTCACTACTGTCAGTGTACAAAGTCCGTTAGTTGAGCATGTAATCGAGCTAACACTGTTGTCCAGTGTACAAAGCCCGTTAGGTGAGCGGGTGATCGAGCTACCACTGCTGTCCGGCGCAGAAAGCCCGGGAGGTGAGCGGGTGACCGAGCTCTCACTACTGTCCAGTGTACAAAGCCCGTTAGGTGAGCGGGTGATCGAGCTACCACTGCTGTCCGGCGCAGAAAGCCCGGGAGGTGAGCGGGTGACCGAGCTGTCACTACTGTCCAGTGTACAAAGTCCGTTAGTTGAGCATGTAATCGAGCTAACACTGCTGTCCAGTGTACAAAGCCCGTTAGGTGAGCGGGTGATCGAGCTACCACTGCTGTCCGGCGCAGAAAGCCCGGGAGGTGAGCGGGTGACCGAGCTCTCACTACTGTCCAGTGTACAAAGCCCGTTAGGTGAGCGGGTGATCGAGCTACCACTGCTGTCCGGCGCAGAAAGCCCGGGAGGTGAGCGGGTGACCGAGCTGTCACTACTGTCCAGTGTACAAAGTCCGTTAGTTGAGCATGTAATCGAGCTAACACTGCTGTCCAGTGTACAAAGCCCGTTAGGTGAGCGGGTGATCGAGCTACCACTGCTGTCCGGCGCAGAAAGCCCGGGAGGTGAGCGGTGACCGAGCTGTCACTACTGTCCAGTGTACAAAGTCCGTTAGCTGAGCATGTAATCGAGCTAACACTGCTGTCCAGTGTACAAAGCCCGTTAGGTGAGCGGGTGACCGAGCTACCACTACTGTCCGGCGAACGGAACCGGTTAGCTAAGCAAGTAATCGAGCCACCAATACTGACCGGACATACACCACTGGGCACACACCAACGTCCAGTGAAAAGAGCCAGTGAAGTGATGAGTTACCGAACTAGTGATCCAGTGCACTATCACTGTTTCGAATTTCACACCTTATAGACTGATATTTCGGCTTTCTTTTCGGGTGGGGGATATCGTAAAATTATCTGTATGTACAGCGAAAGGGAATGCTTTCAAGGTTGAGAGAATCATGAACTGATTTTCATAGAAAATTCGTGTTTGTCCTATTGCATGTACCGATCATGTTTCGACGAATAGACTGATGTAATCTAATAAATATTCATTCAAATTCAAATAAAATGGCCATGGACCACAAGAAACGCGGAGGCGAAGCCGAGGCTGTTTCTTGTACATCTTATTTCACCGAAGGTTTTTCGATTCGACGTATCGTATTGTTGATCTGGCATGTATAAATAATAATAAAGCACCTAAGCGCTATTGATCCACAGGCAACATTTAGCCTGTAGCTAAATGCAGACTGTAGCCAACTTTGAATTTCTCATTTCTGTCGCAGACAGACAATATATAGTGCAGAAATTCGTAATGAAGGATATTGTGCTTTTCAGTCTACTCTGCTGTATTGTGTGAAGGTGAATAAACAGTCCGTTTAAACAGCACTATTGTGTTTTATCTTTTTCGACAAAAAGAAAAATGCAAATTTTCGCTGCGTTCTTTGTCCTGGCATCTGTAGTGACCCTCATCGAAGCGGAAAGCTGTAGACAAGGCCTCATGTACTGCGGAAGCGGGCTACGCTCTAGAGGTATGTAAAAGCACTTTCTTCTATGTCCGGTCTATTTCCTTGAAAAGAATTTAACTTTTCCCACACTTTCTTTACTGAAGAATTTCCAGTTTGATTTAATCCAAATTTGTGAGCGTTCGCATAATTTTGAGATAGCCGTACCCAAAATCGAGTTTTTTTTACGATTGATTTCTTTCTGTCGAATTTTTATCGTACCATGTCCGTGATTAAGTTTGATAAAGTGTTTTGTAAATCGGTTTTATTCACTTATTTTTACAACGTTTTCAGACTTACAGGAAGAATGATAATGCAAATGTCAAAAGAACGTGCGCATTAAAATAACGCAATATTTCAATGGTATCGATTTTTAGGCTACAACATGAAAGATCACGAACTCAATATGCTGTTCTTATGCAAGGATGGCCATGACGTGGACTGGGTTTCCAGCTGTCCACAGTGCCATGATGGTGGTCGAGGAAAAAGCGATTGGTGCTAAATGTAGAAGCGCTAGCAGTGGTGATGGGTGGTTTCCGTTTGTGCAGTTTATTCTCGTGTCGCCGCTTAATGTTGATGATAATCAGCTTTTTAATGCTATCTATTTACTGGTTAACGTCAACAGTACGTATCCTTTTTGATGGTAGAGACGTCAGAGTGACACCCATGGCTGACACGATGGTCACTTGGTCAGTTTCTCAGCCAGCTCATGTTCTTATCCGTTAGTTATAAAGTATAATCGCCACGTCTTCCAGACTGTTGTCAGTTATATCATCTACTATTTCAACATGTTACTGCTGTAATTCAAGGCCGTTCTATGGTCGTAGTATAGATAACGTTCTTCGATAAGTCACTGTAATACGGGTACGGCCAAAACACGGGAGAAATCCGGTTAAAAAGAGGAAGGAAATTTCTTGGTCCCAGTCGCAGTAACTTTTCCAAGGGTTTAAAATAAATATTGTCAAATTATGAATAAATGCATCCAGTATCGGCGCACCACATACTCGGAAGTCGTAACAGACTTTTGCCCTTTCGTTCCGAAACTAGCTGACATAAAGTGGCATTGGATGTTGCCGTGCGCTTCCCCATTGCGGCATTACAATATATAACCGTGAATAACATAAAGGATTAACTCGCGCGAAACCAGTGAGAAGCGGCAAACAAATTTTTGAAAAAAGCCATTCCCAATAGCACTAGAGCGTGATATCGTCATCTTCTTTAGGTGATCCTCAGAACAATCTAGCCTTTCCCAGTCCTGACCGACGCAGCTAACGACGGTAGTCTACGTAGCTTGCATATTATGTAGTAAGCGGCGACGCAGATGGGCGCATGCCTTGACTCCACACATCGTATCTTTCTTCACGCAGCGCTTCTATTTGATTTTATTTCATGTACTGCTGTAGTAAATAGTAATTATTTTAATGGCTATTTTTTGTGTTTCGGTATGCTGTTACGTAGCAAACCGTCAATGGGGTGGGACAGTGCATATTGTTGCCTAGATCTGGCTGGGTGCTACTCACGGCAACAGTGTTGTGTCACTTCTGTGTGCTTGAAAGAAGTTCTGGGTACACCCGCTGCGCATTAGGAGCATTTGTAAAAATTCTGTAACTATATAGTAGTCCTGAAGACATTCAAAGCGCATAATGTTTTGGAAAATTTATCCTGTATGGGTAATTTTGGATATACTTTGTATACTTTGTATGGGTAACTTTGGATATACTTTGTAACTTTGGAATTTATCCTGTATGGGTAACTTTGGGTAACTTTGGTAAGATTCATTTTGCCTAATTTACGGAAGCGTGTGATCGGTGTTGTTTCCGGTAGTGCGGTAAACATTTACTTCCGGTATGTGGAATAGTCGACCGGAGCGCAGCGGAGGTCCTTTAATTCAACAAAAGTAGAAAACCGTCTGTCTGCATGTCCGTTGTCTGTCTGTTACGGAAATGGGAGATCACTTCTTTATTCGATATCTCCGTTATTAGTCTTCATTTCCTTATCCCGTAACTTCGTCATTAGCATTCCGAAACACGCCACGGAGACATGACAAAAATACAGACAGAGTCCCAACAATCCCAAAGTTGTTTAGACAATTGCGCTTAAAGAGCAGAAAGCGAAACATAAAGGAAAACAAAGAAAGGTCACGCAGGCAGAAAACACACACACGTAGAAGAAACTATTGAATATATTCTTGTTTCGCTTTTGGAACTGAGAAAAGACAATATAAAAGCTCTTTTGTGTTGCACTTCGACTTGTCGCATGTTTCGATCACTTTGAACACGGGCTTTCATATACTTCTATCGCTAACCTGGTGTGCACTGGTTCAAAGAATAAGCAAGTTTAACTGCTTAGAATGGACTTGTGAGCATGTTATATTTGTACTTTGTACTTATGTCTGATCATACATGTATCGTGCATTTTCCTGGTAATATTGTAGTGATATTGCTACATTAGCCTACATATGCATGTAATGTAAACTTATACAGATTGAACAGCACATGTACAACATCTAATCCGAATAAAAGGGTTACATTTATCGTGAGACTTGCTTAACAAGCACAAGGACCCAGTTGTGGTTGAACTTCAGGCCAGTCCTTCCATCTCTTTGTATTCCAGGTTCATATACTGAGCATTTCCTTCATATTCGTACAACCAGTTGTATGCATGAGTATTAAAAAAAATAAATTAAAGGCGGTCAAATGTTAATGCTTAATTATTTATGTATGTTGTAAACATGTATGCCTGACCAACACGGGCGGGGGTATTGTACACTCCGCCTGTGCATTGTAATTGTAACTGATGCTGCACAGTACTCGCTGTCAGTGAACTGTTCCTCCGACAAAAATTGTAGACCGGGAAGTCTTCTTATTCAGAATTTTTTAACGAAACTATTCTGTCAAGAACTTAAGGTACAGTAACTTGTTCGACCCACCAGCCGATAATTATCGGCTGATGGGTCGAACCGGGATTTGTAAATCCCGGTTTACGAGAACACTTTACATGAACGAAGCATGTTGCAGCAGGAAAATTACAGGAATATATGATGTGTGTTCTGCAAATAAGACGTCATTTGCATGAGAACTGCACAGCAATGGTAGCATGTTTCATCACGCCCGCTGCCGGTATACTGTTATCGGTTTGTAAAACCTGAGTTGTACGACACTACAGTATGGCAGTGCCATACGTTCACCTTCTACAGCATACGTGTGTTTGCACTGTGTAAAGCATAATATATTAAGTAATAATGTAGTATTCATATTGTAGGTATAATGTTATGTGTCGCACATGTCTAGATGAATTAGCCTGATATGTGTAGGGATTGGTAATTTTCTGAGTATCTGTGATGTGCTATAAAGATTAATGTTGCAAAAGGTACTCGTATATAAATGGTTGTGGGAAAATATGAAAGTCAGTGCACACTTGTCAGGCTGGATGCAAGCAAAGTTTCTCAGTAGAGCACGCTGTTTACGTACGGTCGGCTACAAAGTGGTGGCCTTACGCAGTTGTTAGAGGGCTTCCCTTCGATCGACGAACAATACTGTTTCTGTTTAAACTGACAATGCGGGACAAATTGTTGTTTTCATTGGTGGTGCAATGGCTGATTATATGCCAGATGGCCGGTAAGATTTCCTAGTTTATCCGACAGCTTCGCAATAGGGCCAGATATAAACTAATTTCAATGAAAAAATGCTAAATAATAAACTATTACTAATAAAAACAGAATTTGATAAATAAATACAAATGCTAACAAATATTGGTAAGCATTAATATATGGTAAGTGAGTGTTCACACTTAAACACTAATGATTGATGTTAAGTTAGCAGGTAGTCGTGGTGACCTTTGATCTTCCTTCGGATCATTGATGTGAACTTAAACGTGTCTGCTCATGGCGGCAATATATGTGACCTTTCGTATATTTCAAGCTGGTCGGATGCGCTCTGTGCTTTTACCCGTGGCGACAACATTCCGACCAACTTCGAGTGCCGGGTGCAGCTCTGTGGGGGAGCGGGACGGCTAATTTTCCAATCAGATGGCAACTTGGTCATCTATGACGGCAGCGATCGCCCGAAGTGGAACAGCAACACTGCCGGCCGCGGTGATCGGGCCTTGTTCCAGACAGACGGGAATCTGGTTATCTACGATATTTCCAACCAAGCCGTGTGGAATAGTCAGACAGCAGGCACAGGGCGTCGACTAGTTTTTCAGGATGACCGTAATCTGGTTATTTACGACAGCGCGGACAAATCGGTGTGGAGTTCGGGCAATTATATTAAGTGTAATTAACGTGGCATGAGTACAGGATAACCGTATCAACAACGGTAGATAATTCATGGGCGAGCCGCTTGTTTTTCTTGCCTGTGCAAGTTGTATTTCACTGAACGCATTTTGTGCCACGATAAACGGAATGCTATACATTGTATTACGTATATGTGTTTTAATTATTTGACGTTTGTGCGACCGGTTTGTTCGTTTCACACTTTGAATTCGGGTTACACGCGCATTAAATGTGTTTTCTTACAAATCTCTGTACGAAAATAAAACATTTTAATACTTTCGTCTGGAATTTATACTACAAATGGGAGTGTAGTAAATTATATTTAATAGTTAATACTAACTTTTATATACTGTCCATCATCCCTAAATTATTGAACGATTTAGGTAAGTATGACCGGCACATGGCTATATACTGTTCTCGTCCGCCAAAATTACAGTATACTCGTATGATTGCAACGAACCGCGGTTCTAGCATTTTTTTCAAGTTTTGAAAAGTAATAATGAAATTTTTGTTATTTATTCTGAAATTTGAAAAATGGTAGAACTCGATCTTCATGAATTTTCATTTAAAACGATCTGCATTTAAATACAAAAGTTAAAAGAGATCGGACCGTAATGCGACTTTTGTTACACGTTTTGGAAAGTTTAAGCAATCTGGAATTTGCATCCGTAAATCCCAAACCGGAAATTGCTCGCAAAAACGGTTTTCACGTCCATATAAACAAATCGTCAGGCTACAGAATATCATTAAGCAAAGCAAAAAAATGTTGGTAGGGCAAAAGTGAAAGTTTTTATGCATGCATACGAATTTGATACCATGTACCGGGTCACTTCCTTTAAGTACCATTGAACAACAACGTATCAAAAAAAAAAACAAAATAACTTAGCTCCGTCTAGCCAGCACCTGTTTCTTCCTTTTTCTTCAACCAAACGGTTGCAAACCAACTTTTTTTCGTATTAAAACGTTTCTTAAAATTTTCTGTATCGTACAAGTGTGAGATTGTGTGGGTATAGTTCGAACTGCAGCAATGCGGAGTTCCTGCGGACAAAAAATTATCTCCACTGGAAACCGCGGTTTGCCATCATTTGAATATTTGTCGTCTAAATTTTTAGAAAACCAACGTGGTGCAGCAAATTTTTTTCTTGGGTAATTTTAGTAGAAGTTTTGCGTAATTTTAATAAAATTAAAAATAATTTAGTTAAAGTTTTTTCTTTAGCTGTAACTCATTTATCCGAAAACGATCCCTCGCAGTCGCTTGCAGTCCCGAACTATACGTTAATCAGAAAGGAACGTTTTCCGAATTATCGCAAGCGCAGTGGTGGTATAATACTTTAGCCAAAATACCACAGAACAGCGCTTGGGCATCTGAGATGTTCTTCCTGCGCGAAAAGCTGGTTAACCACTTCGCGAGCGCACAGATAAACAGTGTGGCTTTTTACTCGCGGCGGTTGTAAGCAACAGGACAAAAAGGACCC